AGGACAGGTTTCACCAGCTGTTTTACGACCTACTATTAGAACACCACCCAGCGTAGTGCTGCACAAATGATATCCGATCACGCGAGTCAAGTTTGTGCCCTGCACCAGTTCACATGCCAGTGCTTGCAGGTCTAAGACTGCACAGCGCCCGGCACAGCATTCACCTGCTTGATCGGATATCATTGAGCAGAATGGTAAGCCCAGTCAATACTATACGTAAAAATAATACGTTGCATGCCCGGCCATCTTGCTACACTGCGTGTACATGAGCCCGGTGAAGAGAGTAACAACAGTGTCCGCAGTACTGCACGCACGCACGCGCGCACACACACACACACACACACACACACACACACACACATTTTACGTCACACCTCCAGTCCTATGCATTGCATCTTACACACAAATACAGTCGACAATTTTCACGGGGCGAACAAGTTTACTTATGACGCCCCCCCCCCCCCCTCCCCCACCCGACAAAAAAAAACACTATGAACTTGACATGTGGAGTGCATTGATGTTTCAGCCATCACAATTTTTTTTCAAAACAAAACCGGCCTCAATCTACCCACAAACGAAAGTTTGATAAAAGCACAGAAACTGAGAAAGACTGTTTGGGTAGGCAATTGCCCCACATTGTTCCAAGTCTGAGAGTGAATTCTCCACTGGATCACAACATGATGATCAGCTGCTACAAGTCTCTTAGCCTAGTCACCAAGCATCACTGTCTGCCTGTGTAAGAACCCTGAGAATGAACAACCTGACTACGGCAGATCGGGCACACCCACACGTCAGTACTACACACCATACACATGCCGTGATCTAACTGCCTACACTTGCAAGGAGGACCACTAGCCACAACAGCAGTAGCAGCATGCAGCAGGCATGGGGATGGGGTTGTGCACGCGCCCAATCACAAAACTGTGCTAGCAGTGCTAGCATTAGCAACACACGCGCATAGAGGAAACACGACATTGGAAGCGGCTAGAACAGCCAGCATCCAGACACAAGTCTAATAATAATCAACAACATGACGTCATTGCACTGGGTATCACTATGACGATAATGTACAACGTAGTATGCCAGGTACACAGGACATGTAATACTAATAGAGTTCTGGCCAGAGAAGTTCGACCTCATGAATAAAGTAGTGCCGTGTTCAAGTGCACAGACCAGCATGTGTAGTGCTGGGGCTGCACACAGCCCCCCCCCCCCCCCCCCCGGCACTATTTTATTCATGAGGTTGGATTTCTCTGGCCAGTCCCATACTACATGTACTAGAGACCTGGGTATTACTCATGTACATACACTGGCTGGTTTTCAAAATGGACCATCGGCTCATACCATAAGCCTCGTTTTAGTGTTGACAAACACAGAAAAACCTGATTTCAATAGAAGCCAGGGGGGGGGGGGGGGGATCTGAATAGAGCAATGCAGCGTGTTGTGCTGTCATGGATATGGAAATCCGGTCGGAGGTCAAGCGGCCCAAGGCGCTGGCCATGCAGCCACGAGTACACATAGTGATCATGCACTGCATGCAACCACGTTCTGATCTGTCCGAACCATTCGACCGGATTTCCATGTCCAAGACAGTACTAGTAGTAGCTGCTTGGCTGGCAGTTGAACAGGCTCAAACTGATTAGATAGCACACCCAGCTCTAACTGGCTAACAGGCTAACTATGCACACACAGGTGTGAGGCAGAGCAGCAGCACAGCAGCAGCAAAGCATTTCCTGTGAGTCAGACCTGACCTAAGGCTGAGCCAGCTCCCTGCACGGGCACCCGCACCCCCTCACCACCACACCACCACCCACCACTGTGTCCTGTCTTGATCCACCAGTGCCGGCCAGCTGAGCAGCAGCAGCTGAGCACTAGATGCGGTGGTGTGACACAAAAACTCAAGTGCCCTCACTCTCTCAAGGGCCACTTGCTGTGAACAAGGACAACAAACTAAATTACTTACAAAGTCACAGGTCACACAACACACGGCACACTAGCTAGGCACGCTAACCTGCCCCCCCCCCCCCCCCCCCCCACACACACACACGGCACACAAGCTAGGCAAGCTAACCTGCCCCCCCCCCCCCCTCCCACACACACACACACAACCACCTACACTGACCTGTGTGTATCACATTTTACTACTGTACTACAATGTAGTGGTTTTCAATGCCCTGCCCAACCACTCATATACAGAGTGAAGACTGGAAGGAAGCACAGAGGGCCCAGCGGAAAATACCCCATACGCATGGCCGTGGTCTAAATCCCAGCTGCACAGAGGGCACAGTGGAAAGTGCCAGTAGTACCTAATCTCAGCTATACAGCGGAACAAACCCCCTGGTCGAAATCTCAGCTAGTCCTGTGGTAGTGTGACAGGATGACAGGTGGCCTTCTTCATCATTTTGCGAGAACTGTGGCAATACGCCCAGTGAAAAGGCAGATTCTGCTTGTGCCCACGGTGAAGTAAAATAAAGCTAAACAAACGAACATATCAAAGGGGAAATTTCAGGACTGCACTAAACACAACACTTTTGTAGCTGACACACATAACATGGCACTAGCTGAACACTACACCACTACACCACTAGCGGCCGGTACTGGCACTATGCCATTTTTTATTTTATTTTATTAATTATAATGCTAGTTTGCAGCTCCAGCCTGCAACGTGACAGTGTATACTATATTTGGCCTGATGCACTTCAAAAACCATGACACTACTACTAGTACTAGTAGTACTACTATACCAGTGTACCAGTATAGGCCTTGTGGAACGACTTAGACTCAGACTCAGAGTCAGAGACTGCAAGGAGTCACTGCGGAAGCACACTGCTTCACTGCTTGCGGAATTTTCAAGTGGAAAGCCAGAGGGTGGGCAAAACAGCTGACATGTTGCCCACAGCGCTGACAAAAGCAGCACTACTTAGAACAAAGGGCAAAGTGCTCCACTTCTCCGACACCACACTGATTACTAGCTAGTGAGATTAGATCACACACACCACATCACAGGCACACGCAAGCACCACACACCACACCACACAGGCTAATACTAGTCCATACCTAGCCCCATAACACAAGGCCTTCTGGACCAGTTGCCTGGCTGGCTCCGGCTTAATTAATTGCACCCTCTTAGTCCTAATTACGTAGGGGTGGTGATTATCTGTCAGAGTAGGAATAGCAGGCAGTGGGCATGCCTGCTCACACCCTGGTCAAACTCACTCAAGTAGGAAGGAGAGAGAGGGGCAATCTTGTGTCAACTCAAACTTTCAAGGGCAAAGCCTACAAAGGTATGTTGACCTTGTGCATGAGGCCCCCATCAGGCTGAGCTGTGACGCATCCCTTGGAACACCACAACCGTCAACTAAGTCTAAGGGCCAAGGCCAAAGGACAAGCGACTGGAAGTATGTGAAACTCTAGAATGGCAACACTCTGTTGCAACAGGTTTCCTCTGGCACCCTTGCCCTATGCTGTATACGGGCAATCCTTGCCTATCAGGGCCAGCATGCTGGGAGCACTTCCGGGCAGTGAGGCAACATACTCCTGTACGGTTAGTAACGCAATGGTGAGGTGAGTACAGGGTTCACCAATACGGTTTACAACTGACAAGCACATCCCCTGGCACAGCAACCACTGAGTAGTACAACATAGAATCAACACAGGCTTGCACTGTCACTGTATCAGGACTACTAACTCATCAATTGTCAATATACTGGACAAGACAAAATCTCCAAAATACTCAGTAATTACAACTCAAGCTGCCCCCCTCCCCAGCTGCACTACTACTAGTACTAGCTACTACACACAGCCCACAAACTGGAATACTCCAAAACGGGGATCACGACACAACCAAACCTGGCTGAAGCTACCAGCAACAGCACCACACTACACTGGACTGTTGACATGATCGTGTTCCAGTGGCACGGGCAGAGGAGCTGGGGAAAGTGTCAAAGTGCAACTCAACTCTTGTTTGTGATTCACTGTTTACTGTGTTTCAAGCATTACCTTAAGTAAGTTTCACACCACAGTCTGTTTCAGTGAGTGTGTTATGAATCACGGGCAAATTGTCCTTTAAACTGACACTGCATACAAGCATGTATTCTTCACAGGCACCGACGACACATGGCAAGTTGAATGGATGGCACGCAGAACGCCAAGTCACCTTGATGCAGAACTATTCTTTTCAGTTCTCCAATCAATCAGACGAGTGCACACAGCCTGCATTCACATGATACTGAGCATGCATAGTGGCTACTCAAAAGGAGATAAATACCACACAGACTTACCTCCACCATCAATGAATTATGCAATGGTACTTGTCCACAAAAAAATCCTCCCGGGGTAGCACAGACAATAGCCACCAGTAGAAACCCAGTGGAAACAATCTGCCTTGATGCTTAGTTGTAAGACTATACTGTCATTGATTCGTATCTACCCAAATTGAGTTTATTCGCACCAATCACAAGGTGCCAACTGGCGCGCATGTAGGGCGACAAAACTAGTGGTGTGCACGGATAGTCGGGTACCCATGCTACCCGTGAGGACCTCAGGTAGACGGGTACAGAATACTACCCGAAAACCCGAAGTCGCAGATGACATCATGTACAGTGCACGTGTACTTTTCGGCCAAGAAAACATCTTCACTGAAGACGATAGGAGCTACGTGACAACTGCGGGTATACTCGTTTGGTGTGCATGTGTGTGTGTGTGTGTGTGCGCGCGCGTGCGTGTGTATGTGTGTGTGTGTGTGCGTGTGTGCGTATGTGTGCGCGTGCCCGTGTATATGCGTGTAAGCGAACAAGAAAAATATGCGTGTAAGCGAACAAGAAAAATACGCATGTCCTGCGGGATTGCGGTCTATGCTGGCAAAGCAATGCTGCACTTGCACAGTGAGACGAACAGACAGCAGAGAGCCCTGTCCTTCTGTCTGTCCGTCCAAGATCCGTCTGTCTGTCTGCCTCACACACACACACACACACACACACACGAACAAGGCAGAGACTTAC